GGGGGGGGGGGGGGGTTTAAGGCCCCCCCAAGCCACAAATTGAACCCCTGGGCCCCCTTTAACCCCGGGGGTTTAACAAGTCCTGGGTAGGGGTTCCGGACCCACCCGGGCCCGACCCTTTGCCCCAGAATTGGCCGCCCCCATGTTGGCCAAGCCCCCCCCCCCCCGAAAGTAGGGTTTTACCCCCGGGCCGTGTTTGAAATCCCCGGCCGTGGGGGATTTTTGGGACCCCCAATGGGAGGGGCCTTTTAAGGGCGGGGGGAAGGGGAAAAAAACATGGCCCCCCCCCCCCCCCCCCCGAAGCCCGCCGAGACGGGTTTCAACCAGAATATCAGCGCGTGGGACGTCTCGGAGCCCCCCCCCCCCCTCCCCCCCCTCCCCCCCGCCCGCCCGCGCTCGGAAGGCGACCGATCCCTCAGCGAGCGGACGCCGCGGCGGCGAAGAGACGGCGCAGACGGCGCGCGACGGAGCGCGCCAGCTGTGAGAGGCGGCGAAAGGCGCGGCGCAGCGAGTGCCTGCCCTCTGGCAGCCTCTCCTTGCGCTCCCCGTCCGCAGCGGCGGCCGGCGGCGGGAGCGCGCGGCGGAGATGGGTGTCGGCGCTTCGGAAGCCGGCGGAGACTCCCGCCTCGGAGCTCCACGAGCGAGCGAAGGTCTCGGAAGTGTCTCGGAAGCGTCTCGGAAGTGCCTCGGAGCTCCACGAGCGAGCGAAGGTCTCGGCCGACGTGGGCGGGTGGGGGGGCACCCCGAGCGAGGCAAAAGAGGCGGAAGAGGCGGCGGCGAGGACGGCGGCGAGGACGGCGGCGAGGAGGGCGAGGAGGACGGCGAGGGTCGGTAGGAAGCGGGAGGAGGAGGAGGAGGAGGAGGAGGAAGGCGGTTGGCGCAGAAGGAGCCCGCGCCGCCGCCACTCGCCGCCCTGCCCCTGCCTCCACTCCTCCTCCACCGCGGAGTGGCGCGGCGCCGCCGGCCGCCACAGCGAGGAGAGAAGGGGCGGCGTGCGCAGCTTGCGGCGAGACGTGCCGAGATCGGGGGAGATCTGGGGAGGCGTGCGCAGCTTGCGGCGAGGGAGGGCGCCCAGGGCGGCCTGCCCCTCGCCAGCAGCGGAGTAGGGCTCGCTCTCTTGGCCGATGGAGAGGAGGGCGGCCGCGGCGTCGGCGATCGGTGTGTCGACCGCAACCGCCTCCGCCCTCGCTGCGTCGCCGGCGGGCGTGCCGACGCACGAGCGGGGCTCGAGCAGCGGCGGCGGCAGAGAGAGCGCACGCAGCGCCTCGCGCCGCAGTTCGGCGAGCTGGGCGCGGACCACCTGGACACGGAAAGGGGCGTGGGAGCGCGCCGTGTGCCACGCTGTGACCTCGCCCCTCGGGGACCGGCTTGGGGGCTATCTCGGCGAATCTCGCCGAATCTCGCCGAATCTCGCCTCGTCGTCGCGGGCTATCTCGGCGAATCTCGGCGAATCTCGCCTCGTCGTCGATGTCTGGGTCAGGCCCCTCGCGCGACCAGGTCGAGTCGTACGACCACGGAGGCGACGGAGGATGATCGCCGGCCCCGCCCGAGGCTGGCGGTGGTGGCGGCGGCGAGGCTGGCGGCGGCGAGGCTGGCGGTGGCGAGGCTGGCGGCGTCGGCGTCGGCGGAAGCGCCGGCGCGAGAGGGAAGAGGAAGCGGCGGGTCACGGCCGGGAGGTGAGAGATGTGCGTCGTGAAGGTCTCGCACTGCCGCGTAAAGACGTGCTGGTAGACGCCGCTCTCGCGGACCGAGAAGAAGACGTCCGCCTTGTCGGCCACGCCGCCAGCGCCGTGTGCCCATGCTGCTGCCGCCGCGTGCGCGCTCATCACGCTTCCGAAGAGCGACGGGACGCGGACGTAGAAGACTCCGCGCGAAGGCTCGTAGCGCACGGTGCAGTCGTCGCGCCGCGCGAAGCACGGCAGGCCCCGCACGGCCGCCAGCTTGGCCTCTGTCGCATCGCCTCCGTTTGTGAGCGGTGCTAGAGGCGACCGAGGGCCGGCGCGGCGGGACTTTGGAGCGGGAGAGAACCAAGCGCGCTGAGGGAGGCACGACCGGGTCGCGTCGAGCCAGGTGGAGGCCCAGGGGTCAGCGAGTGACGACTCCATCATGGACACGTTCAAAGCAGGGACTTCCTCGCTGTTTATTCACAGCACGCCTCTAGGAAACCTAGCGCCCACGTGCCTCGACAATTGCCGCTGGTAGGCGCGCCGCGCCGAACCATGGCGGGCGCGCCGCGGCCGCGCGCAACCTTCGTCACAATGCCAACCGCGCGCGGCCGTCGACCGGCAAGCACACGCCTCGACTCGGACACAGTGTTCCGAGGGCAAGGGAGAGGGGCTGGCCCCTAGCCCTAGAGGAGAGCTTCCGAGACCCACTACAAGACCACGCACTCATCATCCCGCGGCCTGGCGGTCGGCGGGATTGCAACCAGTCTTCGCGTGCCGCCTGTCGTTCGATTCGGGCGCCTTGGGCGTCGGGGTGGCGAGCAGGGGACGCGGCTCTGAGCGCCCAGCGACGCGTGCCGGATGGAGTCCTAGCCCCGTGCAGCGGCGGTCCGGCAGGCTGCCCCCAAGGCCCCCTGGGCCGCTGCGGGTTTTGGAGTTATGCTTTGGCACAGCTTCGGCGATGGCGGCCCCTCTCTGGGGCTTGCATAGGCGGGGGGTCTCCCCCGCTGGTCTCCTCATTCCCTTTTTTCTTTTTCTTTTGAGCTGGGTGTGCCGCCGCGCGGAGCTCGCGCGGCGGCGGCGTGTGTGTGTGTGTGGTGGTGGTGGTGGTGGGGGGGGGGGGGGGGGGGCTCCAGGGCCCCCGGGGAAAAAGCTCGGTCAACGGCTCCTCGGGGTCGGGAAAAGGGAGGGGGGATGGGCGGCCCGCCTCCGGGAAAAACAACAGGGGCCTACGGGGAAACCCTCACTCTCCTGCCTCAAAAGGGCGGGGCTTTCCCGAAAAATAAAAAACCCCGGGCAGCGGGGCCCATCATTAAACCCCCCCAAACGGGCTAGAACTCCTCCTTCGGTGGCCCATCTCCTCATTTTTTTCCCACCTAAGCGGGGCGGGGGTCGGGGGGGCGGCGGGCGCGGGTGCGAGGTGCGGTGCGGTGCGTGCAATCGTGTGTTTGGCGTCGTGTCGTGTGTGCCTTCGCTTGTTCCTATTAACAACGAAGTCTAGCTCAAAAAAAAAATCCGCGTCGCGCCAGCTGGCGTCGCGCCATCGCCGGCCCCGGCCGTCATGTCACTTGTTCCAGCGGAGGCCATCATCGCGCTCGCCGCGCTCGCGCCTCGCCCGGCTCTCCGGTTATCGCCGATGCGCCCGCCTTCCACCTTCGCCCGGCGCTGCTCCGGCCCGCTCTCTGTCGGCGACGGCGACCGTCTCTCCATCCGAGAGCTGCGCTCTCGCCTGGCGCGGCTCGGCGTGGACAGCACTGGCGTGTTCGAGCGGGCCGAGCTGGAGCGGCTGATCGACGAGCAGCTCGAGCTGCGCGACGCGGCGGCCCCGTCAGCAGCCTCCTCTTCGCAGTGGCAGCCGCCGCCTCCGTCGCAGGCTTCTTCCGGCCGCCTCGCGCCTCCGATGAGCATGCACGTCCAGGACGTGATTAGCGAGCTGGAGGAGCGCGGCGTCGCCTTCAACGTCCTCGAACCGCACCGCTCCCTTGCCCGCCGCCTCGAGGCCGCCCGCGCCTCCGGCGTGAGGGCGCAGACCGCCGCCGCCGCCGCCACGAGCGCCGCGGCGGGAAAGAGCGCTGCTGCAGCAGCGCAGAGCGATGCTGCCGCGCGTAGTGCCGCTGCGGCAGCGAGTGGCGCTGCGGGGAGGAGCGCCGCTGCGGGAAAGGCTGCAGCGGCGGCGGGGCCGGCGCCAGTTCGGAGCCGTGCGCCGCCGCCTCTGCCGCCACCGCCTCCTCTGCCGCCACCGCCTCCGCCGCCGCCTCTGCGTCCGCCCTCGCCGCCGCCTCCCCTGCTCACACCGCCGGCTGCGGTATCGTCGCCGCCGTCGCCGCCAGCACCGGCGGAGGGGAAGGGGGCGGAGGGGAAGGGGGCGGCAGCGAGCGACGAGGATGAGGTTGGGTTCGCCGAAGGCATCGAGCTGCTAACACGCGCCGCCGCCGCCGCCCCAAACGCCACACCCGCAGCGCGTGTTGTGAGTGCGCGGACACCTCTCTCCTCCAGGCCGCGCCGCACACGCCCCCGGGGCGGCCCTTGCACCCAGCGCTCGCCTCATTGCGCTGGCTCGTGTCGCTTTCAGGCGCCGCCGCAGACGCCCTCAACGTTGCTGCTCCCACCGCTTCGGCCGCCGCCTCGGCCGCCGCCTCGGCCGCCGGTGCCGTCAGCTCTGCCGCCGCCAGCAGCCCTCTGGGCGAAGCTGCTGCGGCGGCGGTCGCCGGCGGCTTCGGTGGCAACGCAAGCGCCACAGCCCGGCAGCGGGTGGCAGGGTTCGCGATCTCCCGAGATCTCGCTAGGAGATGAGACTCTCCCCGGATCTCCCCCGTTGACATCGCCCCGCCTCTGGGCCCGTAGGATCGCGGGGGGCGTCGCTCGCAGGTGCGTGGCCAACGACGCGCACGCATGGACTCCGCTCCCGACCTCCCGTGCCTAAGCCCCATCCTACGACAGTGCCCTGCCCCGCGACCAAAGGGCAGCCGGAATCTCATCCCAAACCCCGGCCCCAAACCCCCGGGTGTGTCTCGCGCCTTGCGGGGGAAGAAGGGGGGAGGGGGGATAGGGGGGGGGGGGGGGGGGTGACCTCTTCCCAAGAGCGCCACTCTTGGAGCCCCGCCGCCACCACCCAAAGAGCGCCGCGAGCAGCGCCGGGCGATGACGGCTTACCGCCCCCCCAGCCCCCCCCCCCCCTCGGCACAGGACCCTCCCCCACCCCACGGTACCCGAACGCACCCAGCCCCCGGTGCTCACACTCTAGGCTGCGCCGGCTCGGCATGCGGCTGCCTCGCTCCACGCCGGCGGCAAAGGCCGCCCCCGCCCCCGCCGCCACGCACGGCATGCACTTTCCTTTTTCTGAGCATCGTCCGTCTGTCTAGGTCGCCGCCCTCGCCGGCTGCCTCTGCGCGCTGCGCTTCGGTCTGTGACCCGCGAATCGCTAACCAGTTAACATTCATCGTGAAAGAGTTGACCTTTGCTCAATCATCTTGCGTCAGGCCTGATTCGCACCCTCCTCGCCGCCGCCAGCGTGGCACTGGCGTGGGACTTGGCCTGTGGGGTGCTCGGCAAGGGGCGCGGTCGGCGGCGAGGCGCCCGAGGGAGGAGGGGAGGACGAGGGGAAGGAGGGCGTGCAAGGGGGGGGGGGAGGGTGTCGGAGGATCGGGATGGGTGACGCCCATCCTTGAGTGGTGGTGGGAGCGCTCTCTGGGAGACGCGAAGTTCGGCGAAGACTGAAATCACGTCGAGATACGGCTCTCATAAGCCGACACGATATACTTAAAATGAACTCGCGGGCACAGCCACAGGACGCGCAGGCGGGGCACACGAATCACGATCACGAACCGGCGGGCCGCGAAACGCCAGGACCCAATCGCAGGCTAGACCCCTCACGACCCGCGCCACACGAGTGCGCGACACTCGAGACTCGTAGACACCGCTTCAACCGTACACATGCTATGCAACGTCCCCCGGAAAGGCTCTCGGACGTACTGCTCCGTTAGCCCGACGCTCCATGCCCGCGACTCATGCACCATCCTTCGCGGCCCTCACCCCGCGCCGCTGTACGACGACGACGAGCACGGCGTCAGCCCCTTGAGCTTGGCCACCTCCGCCTCGGCCTCGTCCACCCGCTCCTCCATCTCCTTCTCCTTGGAGCGCACGTACTCCATCATCTCGCCCTCGCCCACCCACGCGTTGACCTGCGTCGTGAAGGAGACGTGGCACAGCAGGTAGCAGTTCCGGATGCGCGTGCCCTGCGCCGAGCGCATGTGCAGCACGCGGTACCCTTGCCGCAGCACCCCGAGCACGCACGTCTCGTACGCCACGTCCTCCTCGTCGTCGTCCACCACCGCCACCCGAAGCACGGTCTGCTGCTTCTCCGCAGCGATGCAGTGGACTGCGCCGCCGTAGCGCACCGCCTCGCCTCCGCCGCCGCCCTTGGCGCCCACCAGCTGGCGCGAGCGCGCCGTGGCGGGCGGCAGCTTGAGGCTTACGCAAGAGAAGCCGCCGATGGCGTGCAGCTCGACGGAGAGCGAGGGCAGCTCGTCCTCGCCTCGCGGCGACGTCATGCGCCTCCTGCCGAGCGCCACCGACAGGGAGGGGACGTGGCCGTGCAGGCTGCCGCCAGCGCCGGCCAGGTGTGGCCGGTCGGTGCCGCGCGGCGGGAGGCCGAAGAGGCAGAGCGGGCGGAGAGTGGCGGCATGGAGCAGCACCCGCGGGGGAGGCCAGCTCGCGGCCGTCGCTCCGCCGCCAGCCGCGCCGAGCATGCCGGGCGGCTTGAGCACGTAGCCGCGCCCGCCGTTGAGCTCGAAGAGCGCGTGGTGCAGCTGCGTCGGCAGGTCGTTGGTCTGCAGGTTGAGCGCCGCCATCTGGGCGCCTGTTCACGGCCAGCGGCGTGAAGAGACGCCGTGCACAGCCGCAGGCTGAGGGCTGCCGTCGGGGCGCCCGCGGCCCAGCACGGCAGCGGGTCGAAGTTGTCGCTCTTTGTGCGCGTGCCCTTGGGGTAGACGCGCACGATTCTGCGCGCGGTGCGCTCCTGCATTCCAACGGCCCACATCTCACAATGGATCTACGCATGAGCCGGTCCTGAAGCAGGTGCGCTCCTGCATCCCGGCCGTCCAGTCCTCCTCGCTCACGCGCCTCGCCTTGGCGCCGTCAGACGGGGCTCGGGTCGGCTCGAGCGGGCCGCTCCCGCCTGTTCATTGCCAGTGGCGGGATGAGAGGGCGCACACCCCCGCTGCGGCTCGAACGGCCGCGCGCCGCGCCTTTCTGCGGCGCACTCGACTTTCGGCCGAGGAGGGAAAACGCTCTAGCGCGGCCCGGCGAGACGGAGCTGCGAGCGGGCGAGCGGCCGGCGACCGAGGGGCGGAAGAGAGCGCCGAGCACCGCTGCGGTCTCCTTGGCCTCGGCAGCGTGCGAGAAGCGCAGCTCGGAGGCGGAGGTCACGGTGAGCAGCTCGCCTACTCTCGGGTGCACCTCGGCTGTCTCTCGCGGCGCAGCCCGGAGGCGGAGGCCGCGGCGCGCAGCTCGCCGCCGCCGCTGGTGCGCTCCTCGCCCAGAGGCTCGACAAAGAACGCCTCGCGCGCCTAAGACTCGGGCAACCTCGTGTGATCTCGGGTCATCTCGGGTGCAGCGTGGTCGAAGAGGGCCTCCCGCGCCAGCGCGTGCACCGCCTCCACCCGCTGCAGCGCCGCCGCGTGCGTCTTTGTCGGCAGCATGCCCAGCGCCACTTGAGTCTCGGAGAGGTCTCCGGATCGTCCAGAAGACACACACGAGTGGCGCGGCCTCGGCGGCGACCCCGGGCGGCCAGACCGGGCGGAGGAGGCGAGCGGGGGCAGGTCGGCCACATCCTCGCTCACCGGCCTCAGTCCGCCGTCGGGAGGAGGCAGCATCAGGCTGCCGTCGGGCAGCAGGACCCCCGCCCCCTTGCGCGCGGGGGACCAGCCGCCCTCGCCGCCCCGCTCCGACGACGCCTCGGCCAAAGCGTCTTGGCTCCCCGCTGCGCTGCCCGCCGCTCCTCCGCGCGAGAGGCGGGCGCGCTCACTGCTGCGCCGAGCTCCGATGATGCGCTCGGCCAGGCGTCTGCCCGCCGCCGTCTTGCCCTTGCAGAGGATGCGGCCGCGCAGCAAGTGCGGCGAGGCCGCCGACAGCGGCGCACCTGATGGCGAGCTGACGGCAGTGGTGATCCAGACCTCAAAAGGGGTGCGTCGTGGCGGCCGAGAGCGGCGAGAGCGGCGCGCCGTTCCCCAGCCGCTCCTCGGGTAGAACCAGGGCGGCGCCGAGCACCTCCGCCATCAGCGCCGCCGCCTTGGCCTGCTGCTTTGGCGACGCGCGAACGTCGAGCGAGAGGTGGACGGGCAAGTCCGACGTCGCGAAGGCTGCTTCGGCGATCCTCTGCAGCACCTTCTTGAGCGGGACCTGTTCACAGCGAGCTGACACTGTGAATACGACTGCTTCGGCGGCCTTCGGCCGCACCTTCTGCAGCGGGACCGTGGTGACCAGCGTGTAGTGGTGCGTCACCACGGGTCCGTCCATCCCGTCGACGATGTCCACCTCGAGGCTGCGGCAGCCGCAGAGCAGCAGCCGGCTGTACATACCCGCGTCCGCCACGGACGTGAGTTGGTGGCCGGTGATGTAGGAGTTGTGCGACGCCTGCTCATTCGCAACCAGAGAGCTCACCACCAAGCAAGAGTGTGGCCGGCGATGCAACTACCGCTACTACTGCTACTGCTGCTGCTACTACTGCTGCTGCTACTACTACTGCTGCTACTACTACTACTGCAAGAGTTGTGCGGCGCCGCGATCCAGTAGTGCGAGAGCGGGCGGTGCGGGTCGTGCTCTTCGCCTATCGATCCAGACTAAAGAGTGACGCATCACACAAGCGAATGGCCCGGCGCAAGCCGTGCTAATCGCCGATCAAGCGCGGGCAGGCGGCGCGGTTCTCGCCCCGCACCAGAAGAGCGGCGAACTGCTCAAAGTCGAGTGAGCTCGCCTCCTCCGCCGCCTCGGCGAGACCCCCCGGAGGCGGGGCGGCGGCGCAGCCACTCGACGCCTCCCCGAGATTGCGCCGCCTTGCCACGCCAGAGCCGATCCCGACTATCCTCGCGCCCCCTCTCGCCGCGTCGATCATGCGGCGGGCGGCGGGCGGCGTGGCGGCGAGCATGGCGCGCGCGCGGGAGAAGGAGTTTGAGGGCGTCAGCGACGAAGAGTCGACGCCACCGCTGCGCGACTCCCTGCAGCGGGAGCCCTCCGCCTCGACTACCGGCACTCCCAACGGCGCGACCATGAGCAGAAACGCGTCCTTCGCGCCGTCCACGTCCGTCTCGCCCTGCTCGCTCGCGCAAAACTTGAGCCACTCGTCCACGCCAACCTAAGGACCCGCAGGAGAACAGAGGGCTGAGCTCCAGCCGCCAGCACGCTCTCTGTAGCCCCATACTACGTGCGCCAACCTTGCCCGTCTCGGGCGAGGCGATGCGGTTGTAGATGGCTCGCAGCTCGCGGTCGCTCCGGAGCTCGGCCTCGAACTGCTCGTCCGGCCTCCTCGCCTCGCGGACGGCCTTGCGCAGCTGCTCGTGCGCCTGTTCACAGCGCGAGCCGTGAAGAGACCCCGTCCGCTGCCGGTCGGCCTTCCGAGCCGCTCGCGTGCGTCCAGGTTGTGCGACCGCAGCCACCAGCGCTTGAAGACGGGCGGGAGTAGGTAGCGCCACCCGATCAGCCTGAAGAGTATGGTCTTCGAGACGCCGAACCTATGAAGCAATCGATTGATTCATCATGAGTCGGTTTTTGCTTGGCGATGGTGCCTCATGAGATCCCGCACCTTCTCTCGGCGCGGAGAAGCTGCCGCCGCAGAAAGTACACGCCGACGAAAATGACGAGTATGCCGGCGCCGGCGGCGCCGGCGGCCGCCCAGATCCAAGCCGGTGTCTTGTCATCCGGCGTCGGCAGCGGCTGCGGGTTCTGCACGGGGCCGGGCTGGCCGAAGGAGTAGACTAGGCTGTGGCCGTTGACATCGTACCACTCACTCCCGTCGTACCAGTCAAAGTGGTCAGTGGCGAAGTTGTATCGCGCCAGCGGCTCCCGCTCGAACTTGCCGCCGACCAGCAGCTCGTTCTGCACCTCAAAGTTGGCGGTACTCTTGTCGCGGCTACCGACCCGGTTGAACTCGATAGTGCCCGTGGTGCCGTGGAACCTCAGGCCGTCCGTCACGTTCGTCATGTTCTGCCACCCCAAGGTTCCGAAGTCGGTCGGCAGGGGCCCTGAGGGCGCCACCTCGCACGCTAGCAAGCCCAATGCAGCGATCGCGTCGTAGGCGTAGGCTGCGATGTCGCGGGCGCGGTCCGAATTCACCGGTTCGGCGTCCTCGAAAAAGTCGACGGGCAGCTGCCACTCCAGCGGCAGCAGCTCGTTGATGGCGTCGCGGTCACTTGCCGGCGTGCTCGTCCAATCGCTCGTGAAGTTTCGCCAGAGAGGGTTGCTGTTCTGGCCGCCGACGGCGAGGATGCGGGCGGCGCCGTCGGCGGCGTTACGGGCTACGCCCGTCAACTTCTCGAGGTCGCTGGTCAGGACCGCGTCGCCGAGAAGCACGAGCGCCGGCACGTTGTCCACAAGTACGCCTAGGCGAGGCCAAGCGATGATGCGCGATGATGCGATCATACAAAGCACCGCGGGCTCCAGGGCTGGCGAGCGCACCTTGCTTAACAGCCTCCTTGTAGAAGGCTTCCACCTGCCGGCCGAAGCCGATGAACAGAATGTTGTTGACGGAGCAGCCGTAGTCCTTCCTGTCCGGGTAGCGGCCCTCCCCCTTTGCGCAGCCCGTGTTGTTGGTCGGCTCCCACTGCTTGAGGCTACTCACCGCGCGCGAAATCTGAGACGGGGGAGGGGGGGAATGGAGGCTCTTACGATGGCAGCAGCGAGGGCGGCACTAAATGTGTAGTGGGCCCTCGCCTGTTCCTCCGTCTCGGCGTCAAAGGGGAAGCCCTTAACGACCAGCTGGGCTTCAGTGAAGTTGTTCAGGTTGTGCGTGCGCGCGGCGTCGAGGACAGCTTCAAGGTAACCAAGCCCGTACGCGTCATTCATGTACAGCACCGCCCCGTACGTCAGGTTGAGCTCCACCCACAGCTCTACCACCGCCGACCCGATCGCCGTGTCCGACGTGATGGTTCGGCCAAAGCGAGGGTAGTCGCGTTTATTGTCTAGCGCGGGCGAGGTCGACCAGTAGGACAGCTGCAGGATGTCGAGGGCACCCGTCAGCGGCGCGATCTCCGTCGACTGGCTCGAGCGACCGGGACCGACCACGCCGTGGAGTGACGTACTCGTACCGCCGGCCAGCAGCGATGCCAGATCCTCCCAAGACGGTCCCAGAGGAGAGGGCTGGTCGCCGCCGTATCGCACCGCCAGCTGCTGCCACGCCAGCGAGTCGAGGACGGTGTCAACCACGCTCGAGCCCACCTCCCTCGAGTCGGCCAGCGTGATGTTGATCCGCTTGTCGCATTCGCCGAGCGTTGCAAACGCGGGCACGTATGAGCCGTCCCGTGCGTTGAAGTCGCGAGCGGCGAGGTAGGCGAACACTGGCACGATCTTCCTATCGTGCGTTTGCCAGCATTTGCTGTCGTCCCAGACGCGGCCTGAGGCGGTGCATGCAGCGGATTTTTCAAACTCGAGGGTGGACTGCGCGGAGAGGAAGAGCACATTCACTTCGGAAGCGTTTGTTTTGTTGCTCGCGCCGGCGCCCGGCAGCGTGCAGTTTGGGAACTCCTGCTGGGCCCAGGAGACCGCGGCGGAGGAAAGGAGCACCAGCAGCCGCGTCGGCATGCCGCGCGAGACCGTCATCGGCACGGATCCTCAGGGATGGGAAAGGCGGCGGGGCGTGCGCTTCAGAAGCGGGCGCAAAAGGGAGTCCATCTCGGCAAAAAAAGAAAAAACGGCGCGCACGTCGCGCCGCATGGTGGCCGCGCTGCGCCGCTCGCCGCTGGCGCGCGGTTGATCGCGGCGCCGACTCCGCGGCGGCGCCATCTCACGCAGCGGGGCGCGTCGCGTCGTCGGCGCCAAAACAGACGCGAGCTCGCGGCGCGGCCGCGGCAGGGCTGCACGACCATCTACAAGTTCGGCGACGCCTCGGGCCGCCAAATCATGCTAGCCCTTGGTGGCATGATCCCACCTGTAGCCTACGCGAGCATCTTCATGCGCGACTTGCGCGTGCTCGATCGCCTCCGCAGCGCACTGCAGGCCGTGCACACACGGCGCGAGGAAGCAGTGCGGCTGGGGGCGCCACCGCCGCCCTCGCTGACCATCGTCGCGGCGACCCTGCACCCCGAGGCGGCGCTCGCATTGGAAACCGCGCGCGCCGTGTCCCGACGCTCGAGGGAGGCCGCGCGCGCCGCGTGCGCCGAGAAGCGGCGCTCGGACCGTGGGCGCGCGCCGATCGCCGACCGCAGCCCATCCCCTAGCCGTGGGGCCGTTAGACACGGCGCGGCTCCATTGCCGGTGGAAGGAGGGAGCGTCGCGCACACGCGGCTCCCCGACGAGGCGAGCAGCGAAGCGCACGACCCCCGGACGAGCGCCGACGCCTTCGCGGCCAGCGAGAAGGGCGGAGCGGGGAGCGCCGAGCGGGGCACCGAAGGCGCGCACGCAGGCGGCGACGCGGGCGGCCCCCCAGGCGTGTGCGAGAGCATGGCCACGCACATACGCATCGTGGTCCACGACGGGCGCAAGGTGCTCGCCCTCAAGGTCGACCGGGCGCACTTGCCCCCCACATGGGGGGGCACCGACGCCAACGACCTGGCCCTCCCGCACTCCATTCTCCCCAAGAACAGGACCAACCTTCGCCACGAGGCGCGGGGCTTCCTAGCCCAGCAGATCGGGCCGATCCAGGACATGGCGCTTTACCTCCCGCCCGAGGCGCGCCTCCCGCTCCGCAGCATGTTCGATCCCGGGAAATGGGAGCTGGCGGGGATCCGCAAAGAGGCGCCGGGAGGCACAGGCAAGCACGTGCTTCGGGTCGCCATCGCCGTGCTCAAGCTGCCCGACCTCGACGAATTGGTACCCGCGTTCGACGAGGCCTTCCGGAGACGCCGAACAATCACAACGGTGGAGAGGCGCATCGTGGGCTACGAGATCGTCAACGCGCTCAACCTCCAAACGGAGGCCACGCCCCAGGCTGCGCGTTGGGTGCCCTCCCACCGCGCCAGCATCTGCGACGTCCTGAGCCCTCGAGCAGAGGGCAAGCGACCTCTTCGACGAGGGGGAGAGCGACACCGAGCACCACGAGCTCTCCGTCATCGCCGCCGCCCTGGCGGCGGCGGCGGCCCGCCAGCGGGCCGCCGCCGGGGACGTTGGGGACCCCGCCGCAAACCCCGTGCACCACCCTTCCAGCGGGCGAGTCACCTGGCCCCGCGCGGCCGAGCAATCAGCGCCTTTGAGCGCGGCCGCGCGCACCGCCAGCAGGGAGACCGGCGGGCCGCTCTACGGCGCGGCGACCCCCGGTGGCGGCGGCCGACCTCACCCTCACCCCGAGGCCGGCCCCCGCCGTGCGCCTCCCGCACCCCTCGGGCCTCAGTGCCACCATTCCGGTAACCCGCCCCGCGACAGCTTGCCGCCCGACTTGCCGTTTGGTGTGGGGGGGTGCGTCTAGACAGCAGAACTTTACAGAACTTGAGAACTTGAAGTTTTGAACTTGGAGCTTTGTCTAGACAGCTGTCTAGACAGGCGCTCTTCACAGAAGACATCGCAAAGTGCCCGCGAAGGTCGACTGCAACTGTGGCGGCAATTGGGCAACGCCAACGTCGCAACGATGCTGCGGATAAGGCAGAGCAAGCGTGGGCACGCATTGCTCAGGTGCCATACTGCAGCCATGAGCCCCGCGCCGCAGCCGATGAAGAAGCCGCGGGCCGGCAGTAGCCACGTCGACCCACCGCTGCGCAATGGGCAAAGCGCGAGCCCAGCAGTTCAGTCCGACACGAACGCTGCACCGAAGACGGCGGCCTCGGGGCGCGCGTGACCGAACGCGCTTGCGGCGCTGCCACGCCGTCCTTTCCCATCGCCGCCGAACCGCCCTCCCTCCGCCGTGACAGACGCCGCAAAGACGGCGCTTCTCGCCGCCCAAGCAACAGCAGCTGTGGCAGCGAATCTTCGCGTCGCTGGTGCGCGCGGCGGCCTCGTCGCAGTCTGGCGGGCGCTTGCCTCGCGGACCAGGCGGCCGAGCAGGCTGTGATCGCGGCCGAGGCGGATTGGCTCGGGCGGGTGCCGCCTGGAGGCGCGCCGGCAAAGCAGCCTGCAAGGCGGGGCGATCGGCGAGGCGGCGGCGCTCGCACCTGTGCAGCTGACGCGCCAGCCGCCTGTGCCTTCCGGCGGCCTGTGCGCAGCAGGTTTCTCTATTCACACCTCAGACGATCTTCCACGTCCAGACAGCGTCCAGACAGCGTCCAGACAACGTCCAGACAGCGTCCAGACAGTGTCCAGACAGCGTCCAGACAGCAAAATCGGAGCGTCTAGACAGCTATACAGACAGTAATAGCACTTGAATGTACACAGCTGATTGAAGTAAAGGGGAATGATGCAGCTGCCTGCCAGAGCAGAAAGATTCCTTAATTCTCTCCACTACAAAAAAAATCCGGTGGGGAACCGACATCATGGCCCCGAATGCCGTGCTCTCTAGGTAATCTGCGGGAGCTCCACAAACCAGGTTCCGTTACGGGTCGTCCATCACCGCCCGCTCTCGCGGCCGGGGCACAAGAGGCTGGGTTAGGCCCTCCCGCGGGCGGCGGCGCTCAAAGGAACAGCAGAACCAGATGCCGCCACAGAGAGCCAGGGCGGAGAGGCCCGCGGCGGACACGAGGGCAACCGCCACCGCGAATGCAGAGCCGTACAGATCCATCGCGGTAGGCATCTTGTCGGCACGGAAGGCGCACGCTGACGCGCCGCCGCCCTTTGTGTCTTCGCTAACCAAGTCACTAGAATGTAGCGAGCACACGCCACCTGCCTCTTGGCAGCAGAGAGCTCCGTGGTCCGTATCCAGCCGCCTCAGCGCGTCGCAAAAGCTCGTGCAGCCGCCATAGACACCGAATATGACCGGGAAGCGCCAGTGATCAACGCCGAGCGGAGCTGAGGACGCCTGGAGGGACGAAACCGCGATTGCTCAAAAGGAAAGGGGGCGACGCGCCGACTGTGCGAAGAGGATAACGTAGAGGAGATCGGGGAGTGCCGTCGCAAGCTATTGGCTGGCTACCAGCATCTTTCCGGAGCAAGCGGAGGCAACTGACCAGGCAGGACAGCGAGTTGGGCCAGCGAGAACCCGCGGTGTAAGGTAGGCGGCGACGATCAGGAGCACAGACATCTTCATGAATGCGCCGTCAGGTCACCGCCACCGCCACCGCGGCCACTGCCGGTCTGGCACAGGCCGCACACGTGGCGGCAAAAACTTGCGGCCCCAAGCCCTACCCTGGTAGGACGGCCCCGAAGCCCTAGCTGACGCCCAGGCTGACGCGCCCAAGCTGACGCCCAAGCTGACGCGCCCAAGCTGACGCCCAAGCTGACGCGCCCAAGCTGACGCCCAAGCTGACGCGCCAAGATGACGACGCCCACGGCCAGCAACCTCGTCTGGCACGAAGCCTCAGTTGACCGCGCCGCCCGCGAAAAGAGGCGAGGCCATCGCAGCGCGATCGTCTGGTTCACTGGGCTCTCAGGCTCAGGCAAGAGCACCCTCGCAAACGCCGTCAACGCCGCCCTGTTTGAAAGAGGGCTGGTCTCCTATGTACTAGACGGCGACAATATCCGCCACGGGCTGTGCAGGGACCTGGGCTTTTCGGATGCCGCCCGCGAGGAAAACATCCGGCGCATTGGGGAGGTCGCCAAGCTCTTCCTCGATGCTGGGACCATCGTCATCACCGCTTTTGTCTCCCCATTCCGAGCCGACCGAGAACGGGCCCGCGCTCTCGTGACGGAGGGTGACTTTTATGAGGTGCACTGTGCAGCAACACTCGCCGCTTGCGAGGCGCGAGACCCCAAGGGCCTCTACGCCAAGGCCCGCGCCGGTGCCATCCCGCACTTCACGGGCATCTCGAGCCCTTATGAGGAGCCACTCATCCCGGAGCTGCGAGTGGAGACCGGCGGACAGGCGTTGGCCGAGTCGGTCGAGACAGTGCTCCGAATGTTGGAGGAGCGTGGCGTGATTTCCGCCATCCCCAGTTGATGTGCATGTCACATTCGTTTTATCTCTCATCCACACCCGTCAGGACACTAGTGATGGGCGGCCTAGCCATTCCGCCAACGCCTCTCGCACAGCTCGCTTTGCAGCCGTGACATCGGGATCGTCACGCGCCGAGGTGGCTTCCATGCCCACGCAGTGCGATCCGTTGGCGATTGCGACAGAGCGGACGCCAAGCCTGGTCTGTGCCGCCGACAGCTGCTCTGGCAGCAGCGAGACTGACGAGTACGGGTCGCGCCGTCCGTTGATGAACACCACGTTGCTCGCGCGAATGCCTGCATTTCAGGATGTGGCGCGGTGAATAAGATGCGCAATCACCAATCTGTGTGACCGGCGTGGGCGTGGGCTGCTTGGGCACCGCGGCCGCCGTGAGCGACGTTCGTCCAGCCGCGCTGCTTGCCCGTCCAGAGTGCAGGCGGCGTCGCGCGGATGCCAAACAGCTGCTCGCACAGTCTGAGGCCCCTCTGTAGGTCGTCGTCGTGGGAGAAGGGCGCAAACACCGACGGCGGCAGCCCCGCCTCGCCGGTGGCGCAGTCCGTGGCGTACGGTTCGCACGTCTGCTGTCCAAACTCGTTGCACAGCTGGTAGAACCTGCAGGTAAGGTAAGGCAAGGTAAACTTCTCCACACACACGAGGTGGTGAGGCAAGGGGGCGGCCCGCGCGTCTCCACGTCTAGACGACAGGAGCCCCACGGCATCAAAAGTGCAAGGCCCAGTGCGCGTGGGTGAGCGGTGTCGCGCGCACGCCACACCAGCCGGGGTGCGTGCGCGACTCCAGCTCCGGTGTGACGCCGGGCGGTGCTCACCACTGCCGATTGGTTGGCGTGCCGGTGCTAAAGTTGGAGTCGAGGAGCGGCGCGAGGTAGGACGAGTAGCGTGCGGCGAGGCAGCGGGCCGGTAGCGTCGCTGCGAGGGGCGCGAGCGCGGCGCCCAGCGCCTCGAGGGGCGAGGCGGCGCGCTTTGCAATCGCGTCGAGCCCCGCGGCGCAGAAGGCTGGAGGCGAGGAGGCGAGGAGGTGGTGAGGCGAACGAGGGCATTGGCACGCGCCAAGACACGGCTCTCCGGAGGCGCAGCGCGCCATGGTGCGGCGTCGCGCAGCCGCGAGGGACAGGAAGCTAGTGGGATGGGGGGCTCTAAAGGGGAAGGGTGGCGGGGGAGGCAGCAGGGCGCCGGCACCCCAGCGTAGAGGGCGCCGCGTAGCCCAGCTGTTGGTATACTACTAGAAACCTCTCTCCGAAACCCACCTGCCACGGTGCGGCTCGGAGCGCCGTGCCGATTGTACTGCACGAGCGACTGGATGAGGCCCTACACGGACGGAGGCAGGGGCAAAGCTGTTGCACGACTGGAGCGGGTTGATATGCGTACGAGGGTAACGGGTCGTCGCCTGAACGGAGCCGATCAGGACGCCGTCGTCGTCGTCCGACTCTGGCACCTGTTCGCACCCCGAACTGTGAAGGAGGCGCTGCTGAGCGGATCGTCTCGTCCCGTCTCGTCGAGGTGCGGCACGTCACACGCGTGCAGCAGCCGGGCGGCCCCCTCGCGGCCCGGCGACTTGCCGCTGCGACCCAGTGCTGCGACCAGCTGGGTGAAGGCCGCGCGTAGCAACGGGACGCACTTTGCGCCGCCAAAGCTGTCGAGCACGGCGGTGACGACCTGTCGGGCATGCGGGTGGGAAAGGCCAAGAGTGTGAGGCACAGACAAGGCGGGGTCGACTGAGAGCTGTCACCTGGTTGTACTGGTAAAAGTCGAGCTGTGAGAGGATGGGCCCGCTGTACGCGACCGCGGCACGCACGGAGGCGGGGTACCTGTTCTCACCGCACGCGCGATCAGGCGCCGTTCACGCCGACGGCGGCGCGGGAAGAGGAACGTGCCGCAGCCGCAGCCACGCCGCCAGCTGCCCGCTGTAGCTCCCGCCCCACGCGACCCACGCAGAGTCGGGAGAGCTGTGAGAGGCAGACCACCACTCGACGAACTGAGCCGCGTCCGCCAGCGCCTGCTCCGCGGAGAGGTGCCTTAGCGCAGTGGACGACATGTCCGCGGTTGGCCGGCTCTCGCCGTAGAAGCGGTGCTCCAGGCTGATGAGGGCGGCGCGGTGAGTCGCCGCCAGCTCCCTCTGCAGGCCCGAGGGAGGGCCGCCCACGGGGCCTTCGCCTCCGAGCGAGAGGAAGACGGGATGGCCGGGGCCTCCCCAGAGCGTCGTGTCTTCGTAGTACCGCTGAGACCAGAGCTCCGCCGACCGCTCCCCGTTGAATGCAAAGTGGTCAAGCGCCTGCCGCGTGTAGAAACCGGCGCTGGCGCCACCGATGGCATCGGTACGAGGAGGGCCCACGTAGGCGCGTCCGAGGTAGAGGTGCCACGGAGGCGCAGCGAGCGAGGCGGGCAGCACAGATTGCATGTGAGGGGGGGACGCGCGCAAACAACCCGAATTTCTCTTTTTTTGAGCTTAGCCTTCAATTTCTCTTTTTTTGAGCTAGACTTCTCTTTTTTGGTTGTTGTTGGCCAATCAAGGCACAGAGCTCACACAAAATCACAGTGGGAGTTTATCCTCGTGATTGGAGCCTTCGCCTTCCTCGTGATTGGAGCCTTCGCCTTCAAACGGGCAAACGCGCGGCGGTGGCTCTTGCCCCATGGGATACCCATCACTGAGCCGACGATGCTATGGGTAGCCCCAGGGTGGCGCCCACCCCCATACCCTCAGGCACTTGCCTGCGCCCTGCCCGCGCACGCCGCGCACGCGCGCGCGCGCACGCCCGCGCACGCCGCGCACGCGCGCGCACGCCCGCGCACGTGCGCGCACGCCCGCGCACGCCCGCGCACGCCCGCGCACGCCCGCGCACGCCCGCGCACGTCCGCGCACGTCCGCGCACGCCGCACTACGCGGCACTGCCCAGGTTCCCTCATGCTCAGATTCCCTCACACTCAGATTCCCTCACGCTCAGATTCCGTGCAAGGGGGTGCCGAGGTATGCCACAGGCCGGGATGGAGTGAGATCTTGCGGGGCAGGGCGTGGGCTAGTGCGCGAGGGCGCAGGCAAGTGCCCGAGGGCATGGGGGTGGGCGCCACCCTGGGGCCTACCCGTAGCATTGTCGGCTCAGTGATGGGTATCCATGGACGCTACGACGCGCGCTATCCATGTCCGTGTGTTCCCTAGGCCCCTAATGCCCTAAAGGCCCTCCGCGCGGCGTGAGAGGCTGAGCTCTCTCTCTCTCTCTCCTCTCTCTGTTCGTATAAAGAGTTCACCAAAAACAACTGTCTTTCTTTCTCGCACAGCACACAGGTTCGACACAGGTACCAAAAGAGGCACACACAGCCGTGTAACTCCCAGTATGCGACCACCGACAGCAAGGGCCACTGCCGCTTCATTCGCGATGTCGATTTCGCCGAGGCGGACCTCGCCATCAAGCCAGTGACTGGCATGGCACTCGTTAACGACCACATGGTGCAGCATGAGGGTGAGGCACCGCAGAAGGGCACCAAGTACATCATGCGCTCCGACATTGTCCACGAGCGCCCCGTCCCCGCCGCTCGCGTCGCGGAGAAGTTTAAGAAGGGCCAGCTCTTTGGCGAGTGGACGCGCCACTACGAGCCCTCGTGCCTGCACTACACCGAGTAGCAGGTGCGATGCCAAAGCGTGCGCACGAGTCCGGTGAAACGCCGGCGTCCCCGAAGGATTCCCAGGTGTGCGGCGCACGCAAGCGGCTCCTGAGTGAAGTCGGAGGCAGTGATGACACGTTGAAGGACCAGCTGAAGCGTGCACGTGTTCGCCGTGCAGCAACTGAAGCGAACCAGATTGCAGTAGGGTGTAATGCCCACAGCCGAGCTTGAAGGCCTGCAACCACACACACACAAAACGAGACGAGGTGCACAAGACAAGACGCGAGACGCACACGAGATGTGTGAGACTAGCGAGACACCTTTGGTTCATGCACCAGATCGAGATGAGATGTGAGACGAGGCGTGCGAGACAACACGCGAGGACATGTGCTCTGCTGTTGAGTGGTGAGTACTTGGGTACCTGTAAATTTGACTTTCGTCTTGTGTAATAAGATCCATCATTTAATCGTTTGGGGCTTGGAAAATGAATGTTTAAGTGGACCATTTCACCCACTATCAGCACGAGCTCTTCGCCGCTCTGCACAAAGTATGGCAGGTCGCGGTAGCGGTCGACGCATTTCTGACTGGGCAGAAATGCTAAATTTGATTGCAACTATAGCTCACAGCTCACACGGCTAGCACGGCTAGTTCCATCGGCTGCGCCGCTGGTTGCCGATGGCTCGTTTGTGGAAGCGGGACGGTCGGGTTGGAGAGCACCAGAATGGGGACCGTCGCCTTCTGGAGAGCAAACGGCCACCACCTGCGCCGAGGTGCGAGGAGGCACCGGGCCCGCCAGGTGGGGGTGCGTCACGCGTAAATGTGCGCGGAGCGAGTGTGGGATGGGCGACACAATGCGGAGAGGGGCGGATGAGCCACACCGGCCGGTTTGTAGGTGGTGCTTGCGGTGGAGGATGCAGAGCATGACGAGCGACAGTAGGGCGGGGATGGCGGTGGCGAGGCTCAGCCGAGTCTGGAAGGCGGGACCGAGGCCCGTGAGGAAGCAGACGAGCACCGCTAGGCCAAGGAGGGTGAGCATGGCGAGGACGCAGCCATAGGCGCTCGCCATGATCAGGACGTTCGCACGCTCCTCCACGAAGCGGACGCCGGCCGTCGTGTGCCTCACAGGGAAGGGCTCGTGGCAGACCGCACAGCGCGACTTGTACGTCGGGAGGGTCTTGCATAGCTTGGCCAGGCATGCGTGGTGGACGAGGGTGCTGCACTTGCATGGCCGATAGAGGGGCGGGGCCGACGAGCAGCACACGAAGCACTCGGGCGCGCCCTCGCCCTCCTGTGTAACCTCCTCGTCTCGTTCAGCGAGAGGGAACGCCGGCTGCAGCAGCGGTAGCTCGGCCAGCGTCGCCCCAGCCTCCGGCAGCGCCTTCCAAAATTTCTTTTTGATCTTACGAAGGCTCGTCTCGTTCACCTGGCGGAGGCTCAGCAGCGCCTGCTGCTCCTCGCTGGTCATATGGCGGAGGCTCAGGCGGACCGCCTCCATGTGAGCGTTTGCCTTTTCGACTTGCGCACGCAGCGCCTCGTAGAAGCCGTCGACCGACCGGGCGGGGTTGGCGGCGAGCCGAGCCTCGCGTACAACCTTCTTGAGGGCGCGATAGTCGATGTACGCATCGCGTGGGTATGGCGAGTCCTCGACCTCTTCCAGCCATATCTTGGCATACTTCATGAGTGTGAGGCAATCTCGACGTTCTCCAACACGTGGCAGCGAGAGAGGGGAGAATTTTAGTAGGAAGCCCCTCTCACAGCAGACTGGCTCGGACTGGCACTACAAATGGCACAGCAGGCGACGGCCCCTTACGGGTCGTCAAAGAGGCCGGCGTACTCCTCCGGCCGCTCCTCCCCCTCCCAATCCTCCCCGGGCTCTGGCTCCTCCTCCTTCGCCCGCGCCCTCGCCCCCCGCCGGCGGCGGTTCCGTGTGGCCGTCGCCCCCGCCCCCTCCCCGCCCCCATCACGGCCGGAGCCGTACCACCCCGCGCGCACGAGGAACGAGGACTGAGCCTCAACCTCGTAAAAAAAGAAAGAAATAAAACACGCAACCCAAGGGAGGGATGGGGAGAACGGCACGCCGCCACCACACAGGGATTTTAAGGAGAGGAGTGTGGTGCGCAAGCCGTCGCCCACCCTGGGGAGTCTGCCTCTTCGTATCTCTTTTCGCAGTCTCTCGCCGCTTCTCGCTGCAACCTTCATGCCACCTCGCGGCCGTCCCACTCTCGTCGGTCTCTCCCTTGTCACTTCCTCCTCTGTCGCGTCGTTCTCTTCTGCCTCGTCCTGCGACGCCGCCGCCTGCCGGTCCCTTGTTCTCGCGGCTTCTTTCGCCTTGCGCAACTCCGTCCTCCTCGCGGCGTATCCTGGCCCCTCGAGTCTATCAAGCTCCCCTCGCGCAAGGACCACATTTCTGACTCCCACTCCGATCATTTGCCTACACGTCATGTTGTTGCTCAGGTCCACTCTCTCTTCGAACACTCGTGCCTCTACGGATGTCAACCTCGTAGAGGGGAGAAGCCGCAAACAAAATCATTTTTTTCTGTACGCCCCCTCACACCCCGCACCGCACATCACACACCCCTCGTGGCCGTTCTTCAGTCTGCGGCCAGGGCGCGCTGCACCGGGCCAACCTGCGGCCGTCGCTACGAGCGGCGGGGCTCACCGCGGGGCAGCGCGCCGACGACGTCGAATGCGCCGCCGTGGCATCGCGGCGCCGACGACCAGGCTCAGAGGATGACCCCGGGTAAGCGTTCCTGTGCCTCGACAATTGCCGCTGGTAGGCGCGCCGCGCCAAGCCATGGCGGGCGCGCCGCGGCCGCGCGCACCCTTCGTCACAATGCCAACCGCGCGCGGCCGTCGACCGGCAAGCACACGCCTCGACTCGGACACACTGCTCCGAGGGCAAGGGAGAGGGGCTGGCTCCTAGCCCGAGAGGGGAGCTTCCGAGACCCACTCCAAGACCACGCACGCATCATCCCGCGGCCTGGCGGTCGGCGGGATTGCAATCAGTCTTCGCGTGCCGCCTGTCGTTCGCTCGGGCGCCTTGGGCGTCGGGGTGGCGAGCAGGGGACGCGGCTCTGAGCGCCCAGCGACGCGTGCCGGATGGAGTCCGGCCGCGGGTGACTAGGGAAGTTCGCTCAGGATGTGTGGCAGTCAGTTTGGCTGAGTGTCTTGTCTTGTGGTTGCTGCACTGAACATGCTACATGCGCGTTATGCTGAGATGGTGAAACTTACATACTGGAGGAGGAATTGGTGCGGGCGCGATGATGGGAGTAGCGCTCGGCACCGCCCACCCATGCGCGAGCGGCCGGGCCTCTGCGACGCCCGCCCTTTCCGAATATGGCAGCGCGGGGCAATCCCTTCCGTATCGTGGCAGGCGCCCTTTCCGAATATGGCAGCGTGGGGCAATCCCTTCCGTAGCATGGCAGGCGCCCTGTTCTAATATGGCAGCGTGGGCTCCATCCCCTCCCATCGCATGGGCGTGGCACCTTTCCGCTCGAGCACCATCTGCGAGAGGAACTTGACGTTGCGAAGGTCCACCTCCTCCCGCGTGACCGTGCTCGCCTCGTACGTGACCAGCTCGGGCTCCGCCGCCTTGCCCGCGTGCAGGACGGCGACCGCGCCTAGGTTGAGCGACTTGCCGGCGTAGTTGGAGGCAGAGAAGAGGGTCATCATGTCACGGTTGCCAAAGCACCACTGCTTCCCACTGGAACGAAACAATGATCAGCTTCAGCCCCTCTCCTCAGAAATCGGCGGCCACGTCGGGCCCAAACTTGGAGCCAGCGCCGCGCCGGTCGTTGTTGGCGCATCCGTTGCGCAGCTGTGGGTCGCTTGCAGGGTCTGGCGACGACGTGCTCGGGTGCTCTTCGAAGAATCTGAGCGCTCTCGACTCGTCATAGTACAGCGGCATCGCTGCCGTTGCCGTGAGGCGAGCAGCGGTGCCGACACGCGCGAGGTGCAGGCGTCCGCCCGGCCTCGCACGTCTTGTTTACTTGTTGTGGAACTAATCGTGGCTACCGTACTAGTACGGTGGCCGAGCCGTGTGTTGTGGTCGCCCCGCGTACGCGGCTCGCCCAAGCTTTGGTGTGTGTCTTAATAAGGAAGTTCACTAAGCTACGTGGCTGGGTTCACAGCGATTGTAGGTAAATGGAGGGAACACTTGACGGTCGCGGCCTTCCGACTCGCGCCTCCGCCTCACTGGCACTATTGTAGCCCTGGCCGGTGCGCGTGCGGAGTTGAAGTTCCGAAGTGAAAATTCGAACGCGTTCTCTCACGGTGACCAAAAAATGTCCACCTCAGAGGCACCTCCGGAGGCAGGCCGCCGCACGCCGGCGACACAGCTCCAGCTGTCGAACTGACCCGCAGCTCCTCTCAGAGCGGGAACTGTGACGAAAGTTGACTGAGGCGGTTGTCAGGAATCATCATACGGATCACATGGTGGCTCTTTCATGACGGGAGACCGCCCGACCACTCCTGGGTGGCACTGCCACCGGTGTCGCTCGACGTCCTGTCGACAGCGTGCCGACAGCGACACAGACCATGTGGGACGCGTCGAGTATCGACCTCTACTGCTTACCCAGCCTTCGAGTGTATCCTGGCTGTGGTCCCACACACCCTGGTGTCCATCTCAGAGACCGCAGGAGGTCATGAGGGTCGATGGGAGTGCCAACCCCACAATGCCTAAAAACCCAGCCCAGTAGGTACTAGTTGGGGCGACTACTAGGAGACGTCAGGCGGCCGGCCGGAGCCGGCGCCGTGGCCTCTATTGAGGGGATGGACCGCGTGGGATGCACTGCCGACACTGGGAGTGGCAGCACTGACGGGGGCGAGGGGCGTGCGCCGGGCGTGACCGTGAGAGCCGTCGCCGACGCGGTCTTGGGTATGGGAGCGGGGTCCGGATCGGGCGCCACCGGTGTAACTGGCAGTACGGGTGTAAGCGGACCGTGAGGGGAAACGCGTGATCCAGGTGCGCGAAAAAGGCCGGCCCATGCTACCCACATACATCTCACACGTTTTTTGGTGTCCCAGTTCGAGCCAGACTGTGTTTCGCCTTATGTGCAATGCTGTCTTAAGGTCCGACCTGTGGGCACTGCGCTCGGCACCGGGCACCGCCTGTCAAAGTCTGCCGGCGGCCCGACCTCACTGCTCACAGCTCACATGCTCACAGCTCACAGCTCACCTGCCACACTGCTACCAAAAGTTCTCGTGAACCTTAGACACCGCTTAACTGCGCCTCATGCAAACTCAAAGGTGACTCTGCACACGGCGCGAACCGCCCCCTCAGGCACGGGGACGGAGAGGGCCCTCGTCGGCGTCGGCATCGTGAACTCGTACTCGTCCGTCCGCGCGGTGTACCTCCGAATGGCAGCTCTGCCTTGGCCGCTCAAGCCGGCGTCAGCGGTCTCAGCATCCTGGCGGCTGCTGCTGCTGTCCGCCTCATGCACGATGGTGAGTGCCGCCTGATCCGCGTCGTCCGTGTCCTCGTCCACCACGCAGGCAACGCTCATATCGCCAGCACCGTTGGGCAAGACATATTGTGGCACGCCGAAGCCAGAGTTTTGTGCTCCTGGCGGGTTGCGGCGCCTTTTGAGCGGCCTCTGGGCTAGTTCTGCGCAACGAGCGGGCCCGAGATAGCGCGCGTACGCTAAGGCCGCCTCTGCCGCCGATGGATACCAGCCGATCCGTTCGTCTCGGCCGTCGACCTTGATGCGAGCCTGATAGCCATCTTTGCCGCAGACTGATACACCCAGGTAGCCGCACGCGTTCGACGAGGGTATCAGCGTGAGACCCTCGGCCTCGGCTAGGCGCTCTGCCGTCGCAGCAGCAGCGGCCCCGGCCCCGCCGCTTGCCATCGCCATTTATGATGGCTGCATCCGCCGCTTACGTGCTCGGTTTCTTTTTGTTAATTTGCGAGACGGTTTGGCACACCTCTCAGTCGCGCAGCTCGCGGCGGCGGAAGAGATTGCGACCGAGCTCAGGCTCGCCGCGGCGTCGGAGGACGCCGCCGTCGCCTAGACTCCCCTGCGTGACAACACCGAACGTACCGAGCGCGTAAATGGCGGTTACTGCCGCGAACATGCTCGCGGCGGCGGTGGTGCTGCTGGCGGCCAGCACCGCCGGCCGTGAGCGCAGCGACAGCGACCGAGGGAGCGCGGCGCGCGACCGTATGAGGGTCGATGCGGCGCGAAGCACTACCTACGAGCTGCACGTCAACGCCGACAACTTCTGCAACAACCACATCATCGCCAACAGTAGACAGGGGTGCCACAGGCGCGGCTGGAACAACTCAGCTGGCGCCAACGGTGGGCGGCAGCGCGCGGAGTGCCATCGTAGCCGGGCGGACGCGACGCGCAGAGTATACGGGAGGCTGGACATTAACCACGACAACAACTCCAACTATTCCAGCAACGCCAGCAGCATCCCAGGGCGCCACAGGCGCGGCGCGCGCGTAGCAGCTGGTGCCCACAGCGCGCGGCGGCGCGAGAGGCGCGACCGTGGGAGGCTGGTCGCGGCTCGCAGCAACAACGGAGTGCTGCACGTCAACCACTACATTGACAACAACAATAACAGCCTCGCTCAAAGCTCCATTGAGCGCAACAGGGCGCTGCGCGTCACGGTTGGAGCCGACAACGCGCGGCGACGCGCGCGCTGGCGCGCGACGCACGACCGCAGTTGCGCAGAGTACAGCGTGTGCGACAGTGGGAGGCAGACATCAGATAATAATGGAACAAACAGATGCATCCGCAATTTGTTTACTACGGGCTACAAGGGTACAGATACGTGCATCAATGGATACGCGAGAAAAGGACTACGTGTGGCTGAGAACAGAAGGGGACTACACCGCGCAGTGCTGCACGCGACTGCGCGAGGCACAAGGGCGGCATTGGGGGGCTGGAGAGGGAGGAAAAAGGTTTCTCACTTGTCTGTAGGTGGTCAACGAGGGCGCTGTGTAGAGGACGTAGAAGAAAAAGACGTATGGAACATCTCACGAAACCTGATAGCGTATCCTCGTAGAGGAGAGAGGGGAGATCGCGCCGGGAGGATGGGAGCGGAGAGTAGGAAAGAGAAGGAGAGAGAGGTAGCGAGAGAGAAGCTGGAGCTGTCAGACAAGGGTCTTGGGGACAGGCACCGAGAGATGGGGATTCAGATGCAGCTCCGTCTCTCCATGGTGTGGGGGGAGGAGGCAGTACGTAGGCGAGCAGAGATGACGGCGCCCCCGACGTGGCCGACGGAGATGAGCGAGAGGTCTAAGTTCACACGAGAGGAGTACAGGGATCTGCCAGGACCCGATCCTAAGAGAAATGTAGACCACCCAGACTTAGGATATTTAGCGGTAGCAGATCGCAATTGGCCTGGGGGCGAGGAGGGGAAATGCTCCCGAAGGGAGTGGGGTTGGGACATGGAAAGAGGGCCCACTCTAACTCCGGCCTCCACAGAGCAGATGCAGGTGTCTCCGAAACAGGTGGCTGACAATTTTCCCGGGTGGATGGGAGTACTAGGGGATGGGAGAGTAGGAATCGAGGGAAGGATGGAGGGAATGAGCATCAGCCCCTCCCCGAACCCGCAGCAGCATCCCCCGCCGACGCAGCCGAGCCCGCGCCCGCCAATCACTCTCCCACCGTCGCGCGGAGAGACTGGCCCCACCCAGAACAGCACCGAGCTGGAGCACCTAGTCCTAGCTCGCCCTAGCCCTCAAGGGACGCCCACTCGCTCGACGCCTCGAGAGCCTAGTGGAGGCGGCCCATCGAGTGAGGGGGCGGGAGGTAGCGCGGGAGCCAGTTCAGAGACTGAGGAGAAGCCTAGGGGGAAGAGGCGGAAGCCTACGAAGGGTAAGAGGAGTGGTAAGCAGAGACGAATCGGTCGGGACGAGACAAAGGCTGAAAGGACGGAGGTGGGGTAGCATAACTAGTGTGGCTGATGTACAACATTCACATGTGACGCATACACGCACGCATGGACACACACACACACACACACACACACACACACAGGGATGCGGCCGGCGACGAGATTGCTAGAGGCGGAGCAAGCCTGCTCTAGTCTCACACGTTCACCCCTGTCGCCTGTCTGTGTTGTTGTGCTGTTGTTTGTCTCTTGGCACCTTGGAGTGCTGGGGGGGGCGACAGGGGGGACGTGGCCTGAGTGATGTGTACGCCCACTCAGGATGTGTGGCAGCCCGCTGGCTGTGTGTCTTGTGAGCTTGTTTGTGTCTGTGTGTCGCTCGTGCGTGTCGTCATCATCTGTCTTGCGTCCACCCATACCGCGTTGGTGTCCAGTCCGAGCCTGACTGTTCTTCACCTTACTACATACATACATACCCTGCGTCACTACGTGCCTCCCCGTCTTTGTAGCCTGGCGTTTGTGCCCCGTTTGTGCCGCGTCCCGTGCCCCCGAGTTCACTTTATAAGGCACACCTCTCCGACGCGCTCGACTACAGTCTACGGGACTCGCTCGCTCTGGCACTAACACAGGAGAACACGGGGCTGTCCCGGAAAGTGAGAAACGCCGGGCAGCGTGGCGCATTACTGAACCCTCCCATACGTGCTTGTGCTCCTCCTTCGCTGTCCCATCTCCTCATCTCTTTCCCGCCTGGGCGGGGCAGCGGGTGGGCGCGCGGTGAGGCGTGGCGTGTGAGTGTGTGCGACTGCAACGACGGACCGCTCGCAAGAGACCATTGGGTTTGTACTATTAACAACGAAGGCGCTCTCAAAAAAGAAATTGGTGGGTCATACCTGGCGGATGGCGTCCAAACGCCCGCGACCTGCAGAGCCGGACCGCGCCGCCGGCGAGCGCCCAACGGTGACGCTGAATGGCGGGGAGCCCTGCCCTGCCGGCCAGGTCAATCTGTGGCGGGCGGGAAAGCTGTGTGATGCGACGGTGCATGCTGACGGCCGAGCCTTTCAGGTCCACCGCGCCGTGCTGGCGGGCGCGTCCGAGTTCATGACCGCACTCTTCACGTCCGGCATGCGCGACAGCGACGAGCCCACTATCTCAGAGGTAGCGGGCGATGTCTTCTCGGCACTTCTCGAGTGGATCTACTGCGGTGAGTGCCGCGTCGAAGTTGCCCTGCTCGGCGGCATGCTGGACGCGTCGAGCAGGCTGCAGCTGCCATCGCTCCAGAACGCGACTGTTGAGGCCTTGGTCCAGGGCATTGGCACATCCAACGCCGCGCAGTATTGGGAGTGCGGGGACGCCCACAACATCCCTCGGCTCGTGGAGGCGGCCAAGGCCGCTGCTCTCCAGTCATTTGGCGAGTTCTCGACGGGCGTGGCCTTCGACGCGCTCCCCGTTGGCCGCGTGTGCGAGCTGCTGAAGAGCGACGACCTGATGGCCGACTCAGAGGAGGTTGTGTTCCGCGCCGCTGCGCGGTGGGCGGCGGCCAACTCATCCGCCTCTGAAGAGGAGGTTGAGGCAGTCTACTCGCTAGTCAAGTACAGCCTTCTACCCGCCGCATTCCTCTCATCGGTGGTGGAGCAGGACCCGCCTCTGGCCACCCACCCGCGCGGCGGCTGGATCGTGGCGCGGTCGCTCAAGGCACACATCGATCAGGCGCCGTCGCCGCGAGACCGTGACGATCTGCGCCCTGCGCCCTGCCCTTGGATCAGAGTCAGTGCCTGGTCTGCGCTCTTGGTTGTGATCTTTGCCCAGCGCCCTCGGATCAAATCGTAGGTCAGAGTTGGTGCCTTTGCAGCAGCTCGCGGAGGCGCCGTTCCCGCAGCGGGTCTGCCGACGGGGTGGTGGGCGGAGGAGCGCACGGCGAGCTCGGGCCGCGTGTACAAGGTGTACTACGGGCCCAACGGCGAGTACGCTGAGTCGGTGCCGCAGGCTCGCCGCCGCTGCCGCATCCGGGCCACACCCCTCTCCGTAGAGCGTCTCCTCCCTCGCGCCACCTGCACCCCCTCTCCCTCTCGCGCCCTCCTCGCCCTCTTGCCCTCCGCAATCGCCCTCCCCTCCCGCCTTCATTGGCATTCCCCGGTAGGTTCCCCTCCCCCCCCCCCCCCTCTAGGCCCGGGCGGGCGGGCGCAAGGACGGCAGGGGCGGATTTCGCGCAACGGTTCGGTGATTCTCATGCAACAGGACGCGCTCAAGCCCGCTTCCAAGGGGAGGCCCCAGCGCTAGCTCCGGCAGCGCGCACAGCGCCCAAGCGACTGCTCGTACTAGTTGAGCTCAGAACCCACCGCAGTTCCGGCGGTCCGCTCACAAGAGCAACGGGCGGGGCGGGGTGTTGGATGTGACAGGTGCGCGGTCAGGCATGGTGTGAGAAAAAAAGCTGTCACCGGGTGCTTGGAAGTTGGATGCGCAGACGAGAGCAGGGCAGAGGCCGGGGACTACTGTAAGGTAAGGTAAATTTTTCCACACACACAAAGTGGTGGGGCAAGGGGGGGCGACCCTCGCATCTCCACGCCCGGACACGGGCAGGAGCCCCACGGCATTCAAAGTGCAAGCACCGGCCCGGTGCCGTGGGTGAGCTCCCTCCCAGCGCACAACCCGCACACAACCCCTATCTATCTAAGGTTCCATACAATACACGATGCATTCAGACGAGTCCTAGGGCTTTCGTTTCAGGACCCGGTGTCGTCCGATGGCACCCGCGTGGAAAAGGGGTTAACGAATACACGCGCCTCCTCTCGGTCTCGATGCAGTGAGCCAGGCACTTCTCATACCGGCGGCGGCGACGGCGGTTCGGCGGCGGCGGCGGCGGCGGCCACACAATCTGCGCACGCGGCAGCTTGTGTCGAGCGCAATTCATCCGCGAAAAATACCCCTGCAGTCTGCCCAATTCTCCTCCCGGCAAACGAGGGTCATATCAGGCCCAGCGACTTTGTAAGACAGCGAGGAGGCGCGTGTAAGGTGGCGTGTATGGACTGCCGGGGTCAATAAACCATCCTTCGATTTGGGGCACACCACAAAGTACTCGGCTACGAAGGTGGCACCCATCGTCTCAGCAGCAAGGGTAGAGCTCCGAACGCGTCTACGTGCAAGGATCATGCACACCTCGTTTGCAGCTTGCGAGCAATGAAGGTTGGGGAACGCCTTTCCTTGCTCAGTTGCACGGTATCGGTTGACCTCGGCCCCAAACTCCTGTTTGATGGCATTCTCGCTGTAGCACCCTCCATCACCGCAGAATTGGTAGTCGTCGCAGCTAAGCACGCAGTGTGGGTGTAGATTTCCCACAAATGATCCACAAATTGGCCAACGCATCTCGACGGGGAACTCCGGAGCTACTCGTATGGCATGCTGCTGCGGCGGCGAGGGCGGCAATGCCAATGGGGACGCCTCTGGCGTCGAGGGCGACGGCGCTTTCGATGGCGCCTGAGCCCCGGCGCCCCAGCATTTGAGCTCGGCCGTGTCGAGGATTACGCACGAGTCGACGAACAGCTGGCAGACAAACCGGCCGGAGTTCACGTTGACAAAGTTGGACGTAGCCGCCGAGACGTAGCCGGAGTAGTGGACGCAGGGATGCCCCTCCCAAGCCGTCTCGCCGTCGGTGCAAGGGCGGTGCTCCTCCACCTTGAAGACAGAGATACCCCACGCCTGGTCGTCAGTGCCGCATGTGGATGTCGGCTCAAGCAGGGCGATGTTCTTGTGGTCCCATGCGCTCGAGACCAGGGCGTCCGCCTCCGCCGCGTCGCCCTCGATGGTCTTTGCGAGGTGGTGAGGGAAATCGGTGAACTTGACCGCCGTCTGCGGGTAGTAGTTGAACTCGATGTCGGCGATGAAGTGGGCCGCCGTATCGCCCTCCGTCTCGCTATCGCCCTCCGCCTCGACATCGCGCTCCTTCATCACGACGTTGAGACTCGAACAGAAGCCGGAGGTAGCAATCAGCCAGGCGGGGTCATCGACCACGTCGGGCACGGGAGGGGGCTTGGGCGCAAATGTGGTGCTGCGAGCGGTCGGGTTGATGTCGTCGACAGTTTCGGCCTGCGCACGCCGGAGTGCGCGTGTGAGGCTCAGCCTGCCTGAGTGAGTAATTGTGGCGGGACGGAGCACCGGCAGGGCAGACGCCGGCAGCGCGACGAGCAGAAGCGAGGCAGTCTTCAGCATTGGCAGTCCGTGTCGGCAGTCCGTCGGGGGGGGGGAGGGAGCCGGTATCGACGAAAGGGACCGCTAGCAGGAGACGGTGCCCAGCCCTACAGGTAGTGAACGATCGTCTACACACATCAACTGCACATGCGCGCACTTCCAGTAGCGGCGCAACACGACGCCGAGCAACCGACGTCGGCACATACAGCTATATCATACTGACTAACAGCTAACTACTCAAGTATTGATATTAAACACGGCCATGCTCATACACCATTTTGGACAGATCTTATGTGGCGAGCACAATCGTCGCGCTCTAACGTAGCAAGGGTGGCTAAAGTCCTCGCCGGGCGGCTCGAAGGGCATCTTCGTGTGCAGCACACGCGCCCGAGCCTGCCTCCGTGGTAGGGGGCGGGGGAGTTGGCTCTCGGCGGTGACGGCGCAGGGTGGCATTGTGCTGCAGGCTGAGTTGCCACGCAATTGCGAAGTATTCAGTGTTGTCACGCACGATTGCCACGTGCACCTTCGGAGGGCCTTCCTCAAACGTGTTGATGCTCCCTTGCACGCGTGCGAGCACGTCGCGCACGTTGAGGATGTCGTCCTCCACACAGGCATCAGGTTGGGCGTCGCTCGCCATCCAGGGGTGAGACGAAGACACGCTCTCGTCCACAACAGCTGTCTGCAGGTTAAGCATGTCCTCTTCTGACAGGCCCTGCGAGACGGAGTCGAGGTAGAGCATGCGGCCCACCTGATCCAGAAGCGTCGGGTGGAGCAGTCGCGCCTTGACATCTGCCAGGCTGAGGGCGAACGGCTCAGCAGCAGAAGCCAGTAGGCGGGCCGCAGCAGCGGCAGTGAGTGCACTCCCGTTGGCGCTCGCGGTCGGCTGCATGTCCAAGTGCGCCGCGAAGAGGGTGCGCATCTCGTTGCCTCCCAGCGCGCTCGCAACCTCTTTTGCAGCCGGACAGCCGTGCAGGTCGATGAGAACCGAGCGCCCTGTGTAGCCATCGAGGCCGGTTTGTAGCACCTGGCCCGTGGGCAGCACACCGGTGCGGATCGAATGCACGCACGATCCACTCGATAGCGGCACTGTCGTCGATCGCGACGCTATCTTCCTCTGGGAGCAGCAGCTTCGTCAGCGATTTTTGAAAGCGATGCAGGAGGTGCTGGCGACACAGCAACACTTCCGCCACAAGGATATCACGGTGCCGAAGGGGAAAGTGATCGATGCTCTCGCAATGTGGGACCAGACCGCTCGCGCCGGACTCCAACTCCCCTTGCCTGCGACGTGGACGAAGGCGCGTGCCAGAGCGTATCGAAACAGCGGGAATTGCCGCAAGGCACTGCGCCAAGAGCTGCCGGAAGAGCTGCCGCAGAAGCTGGTGGCCATCGGCATTCGACCTACCTTTGTGGCGACGCAACCGGATGACCGTGCGTACTACTCCATGATGAGGTGCTTCGGCATCGAGCCGCCCAGCCGCATTCAAGTCGTGCACCAGGTGAACCATCACTCGGACGCCTCCGCGTGCCCGACGAAGTACTTCGACCTGATTCCATGCCAGGTGGCGCTTCGTGCGCGTGACGCCAATGGCGGCGGCTTTGTCTTTGACTGCAGTGCGCACACGCGCACCTGCCTTCTCGGGAATATCATTGCGTACACGCCATATGCGTTCGACATCAACAACTTCGTCTACGCGCACCTGAACAACCTGGCGCAGGAGGCTCCCGATGTAAAGCCGTTTGAGGAGATGTCGCCGCATGAGTGGGCATCCGCTCTCGAGGACACTGTCAAGCAGTTCGTGTACCGGATCGTCAAGTACCGCGACAAAGGCTTCCGCAGGCACGCTGCGCAGCAGCAGGCGCAGCTGGCGGTGCATCCGAACATGCTGCTGACCAACAACAAAAGTTTCGACATGCCTTACTAGATCACCCAGTTGAGTACAAGGATTAGCCCCACCGACGGCCGCTGATCTGCCGCATGTTGTTAGTAGCTGAGGACTTGTTGAGTAGCGCGTCTCTGAAGATGTTACAAAACAAAACAACAACTCTAACACTCACACGTCATTTGGGGCCTGGAGCCCTGTTCACGCGCGCGCGAGACGTGCAGACAGGGTTGCCAGGTGAGAGCGAATGGCGCGGTTCACGCCTCGCACAACAGAGAGAGAGATGCGCTCTGCATGGTGGGACATAAAAGAAAGCGAGTACTTGGGCGAGTAGGCCGTGCGGTCGACGCTGCCGCGCGCGACCTTGCGCGCGAGGCGGCGCAGCTTGAGAACGGCGGTGGGCGAGAAGCCGCCGCCGAACGTCTCGTGGAGCAGCAGGTTGAAGTTGTTGCGCTTGACAAAGATCGCGTCGTGGTAGAAACCGCGATGCGCCTTGACGTAGCCGTGGCCGTTCTTGTGGTCGAAGGGTTGGCCGGGCTGCCCGCGCGCCTTGCAGCCCATGTTCAGGCGGCGGGCCTTCTCCTCGGTGTTGCCGAAGGCGTAGGAGTGGCCAACGGAGGCGGGCGTGCCGCCACTCGAGGCGTTGCCAACGCCCGCCGAGGAGGTCTTGAGGAGGGGCGTCCAGAGCTTGACTTCATTCACCTCATCGCATCCTCCCGGGCCAGCGTGGGGTTCCGCGAGGTCGACCTTGTACCCCTCGTTGTACTGCCGGGTGAGCTCTGGTTTCTCCTTGTCACCGTGCACGACCGGCGCGTTGGCCGGGGCGCGCATCGCGTCCGCCCAGGCGGCGAGGACGCCGTCGTGGGGCCGCCGGTGGTGGGCCTTGTTGTAAAGGTAGTCGCCGAAGAAATCGACTGGCATGCCCCGCTCGAGCGCGACCCGAAGGGTGGGAAGCGCCACGGAGAGCCAAAGGCCGAGCTTCCACTGGAGCTCGTCCTGGAGGGTGTCGGAGGAGAGGGCGGTGGCGTACGTACCGTCGACACGGACATCGAAGGCCTTGCCGGCGAAAGGCGTTGAGGCGGAGACGAAGCGCGAGGCTTCGCGGTTGTTGTTGTCTCTCTCTCTCTCTCAAGATGTTCATATTGGAACAGTGTGCATACTTCCGTGTCAGTAGATGTGCGTGGTGACTCGGTTTCCTTGACAAACATTCTTCACTGAAAAGTGTTTTTCTTTCAAAGCCAGTGCGCGCGAGTCCCGTGCCCCGTGTCGTGCAGAACGCCTCGTCAAATTCTTATTCGACGCGAGACGCGAGCCGCCGGCGCCGACTCGATCGCTCGCGTTTGGTGACCTGCTTTGCCAAACGCACCATCTTTGACAATCACGACGGCAGCTGTTGTGTCTCAGAGATTGACAGCTGCCGTCGTGGTTGCACTCGCTCGTAGCCCACCTGGCTCGCAGCCGGTCCGCTTGACGCGAATCGCCACGAACGTCGACTTCGAGGTGCTGCCTAGAGCTATGCGCTGTAGTTGCAGCGCCGCGCGTACCTCTCAGCACCGCGCCAAAGCAGCACACCATCCTCCGCTGGTAGCGTGCGCGTGGATTGCACAGGCGCACAGCTCTCTCTCAGCCATCGCGAAACGGCTGTGCTTTGACGTTTGAGGTCAGCAAAACGCCACCGAGCGCGGTGCCGAGCCGTGCTGCTGCTGCCCGCTAGCAGACAGTGCATCAGCGGGGCTGTGGCCTCATTTTGCCAGATTTTAGCGATAGTGCTCGCATATAGTATATGCGAGCACCTATCTCGCTACCGTTGCGGATTGAGGTCCCGCGCACCTGTTTTTCGGAACCACCACAGCTAGCTGTGGTGGTGGGAGTGGTAGAGGATGTGATAGAGGATTAGAAGTGTGATGTTACAATGATTGACACATGAATATCAAACATACTAGCAAGCTAACAAGGAAGCTAACGACTGTGATAAGCCGACTAAGCATGATATTGAAAATCATTGCAATGAAACATGGTACATGCGATGCTTGATCTTCTTCTTTATACTTTCATTCAATTTACTTTAGTTCAGGTTCTCTATTAGCGCGCCTACCGCCCTGGGTGGGTGGTGGGCAATTCAGGAAATGATGTCATGGGGGAGTGGCGGCACGTCACTCCTCACTCAGCTTTTGGTCGCCAGTTCGAATCTGCTCAGAGGAGTCGTCAGGAGAGGGTAGCAGAGAGGGTAGCAGAGAGGGTAGCAGAGAGGGTAGCAGAGAGGGTAGCAGAGAGGGTAGCAGAGAGGGTAGCAGAGAGGGTAGCAGAGAGGGTAGCAGAGAGGGTAGCAGAGAAAACGGGGTCAGATGTACCCCGCAAGATGTACCCCGCAAGGAGCTGAGGGTGGCCCGTCTACCAGACGTCTACCGGTAACCAACGAGGCAGACTTTTTTCTTTTTCTCGCGCCGCTCGCGCCGCCTCGCCTCGTCCTCCGCTGCGCCCTCGCCAAGCGCACCGCCGCCCATCCGCCTCCTCGACCTGCCCCTTGAGCTCCTCGTGCGCGCCCTCTCTCGCTGCGACCCCGCCAACATCGCTCGCGCCGCAGCCGTCTCGCTGCTCTTCCACGCCTCGCTTGCACTGGAGGGCATCCGCTTGTGGGCGCGAGAGCGCGGCTTCGAGCTGCCGGCGCAGCCGGACGGCGAGGGCTGCGCCGTGCGGTGGCTGTGCTTCGCTGCGCTGCTGCGCGAGTCCAACCCGCCGGCGAGGGCAGCGGCAGGCGGATGGCACAGCGTCTTCATCGACGGCGATGAAGTGACGCGGCTCAACACGCCGACCCGCCTCCCTTCCCCGCTGGGCGGCGAGCGCGCTGTGAGCATGTCGGCTGGAGGCTTCCACAGCCTCGCCCTCGCCGCCGACGGTGCCGTCTGGAGCTGGGGAGGTGGAGGCTTTGGCCGGTTGGGCCACGGCGACCAGCAGGAGCAGTTCCTGCCGAAGAAGGTCGAGGCCTTGGCTAACCAGCGCGTCATCGCTGTGTCGGCTTGGAACCTGCATAGCCTCGCCCTCGCCGCCGACGGCGCCGTCTGGAGCTGGGGAGCCGGTGGCAATGGCAAGTTGGGCCACGGCGACGGGCAGAACCAGCTGCTGCCGAAGAAGATCGAGGCCTTTGCTGACCAGCGCGTCGTCGCTGTGTCGGCTGGTTACCAGCACAGCATCGCCATCACCGCCGACGGAGCCGTCTGGAGCTGGGGCAGTGGACTCTTTGGCCAGTTGGGCCACGGCGACGAGCAGGACCAGCTGCTGCCAAAGAAGATCGAGGCCTTTGCTGGCCAGCGCGTCGTCGCTGTGTCGGCTGGATACGTCCATAGCCTCGCCCTCACCGCCGACGGCGCTGTCTGGAGCTGGGGCGATGGAGGTGCGGGCAAGCTGGGCTGGGCTAGGACGACCTGATTCGTCGTGTGCATCTACATCGCGATTTTTTTCGAGGTCAGACGGCAGCGAGCGACTTTTGCCTGCAGCCGTAACTCGGCCTCTGGCCGCCGACAGCGCCTAACTCGGGGTCTGGGGCAGAGCCCCAGCCTGGGGTCTGGGGCTGGCAGCCCCAGCGGGGTGCGGGGCAGAGCCCCGCGAAGAAAATTTTGCATTTTTAGCACCAAAAACCGACCAAAAAGAGGGCTGTGAGCCAAGAGCCCCCAGACAAGAGCGCAATATACAAATCTCGTACAACAGTACACACACACACACACCCGATTCATACCGTCATGCAGTGTACAAATCACTTCCTTCGCTGACGCTTCTTGGCTGCTGCTGGCTTGGCTGGTGGCCGTGCGGACTTGGCTGCCGGCTTGGCCCCCCGGCCCCGCCCCACCCGCGCCGGCGCATGCAATGATGGGCCATCCTCATCACTGCTGTCTGGCGTTCGTGTCGGCGGTGCTTGAGGCGGTGCCGCCAGAGCCTTACGCTTCCCTGCACGTGCGGGTGCGGGTGCGGGTGCGGGCGCGGGTGCGGGTGCGGAGGGCGCCTCGCCGTCGCTCTCGTCCTCGCCCTCGTCCTCGGACTCGTCGCACGAGGTGTCCTCCATGTAGCCCGCACGCTCCTCCTCGAACTCCTTCACCAACTCCTCGGGCAAGTTCGCCACCGGCTCCCACGTGTTGTGCTTTGCCGCCCAGCCCTCCCACTTGATGTAGTACTTGCGCGCATCTCCGCGGTTGCGTACCGCCACCACGTCCTCCACCTGGAAAGTGCCTTGCGGGATCTCCTGTGACTGGTTGCTCTCCTCGCCGCTCTCGTCGTCGTCGCTCCCGCCACTCTCACCTGCGCGCTCATCATCACGGTCCTCAGACCCGGGAAGCCTGCTCATGCCGACATGGCAGTTGCGTCGGCGCTTTTTCACACACACACACACACACACGCTGCTCTAGCCTCACATGTCACTTGCTGTCGTCTGTTGTTTGAGTTGTGCCCTTGTTTGTGCCCTTGGCACCGTGGAGTGCTGGGGGGGCGACAGGGAGGATGTGGCCCTGAGTTATGTGTACGCCGACTCAGGGTGTGTGGCAGCCAGCTGGCTGTGTGTCTTGTGAGCTTGTTTGTGTCTGTGTGTCGCTCGTGCGTGCCGTCATCATCTGTCCAGCGTCCACCCATACCGCGTTGGTGTCCAGTCCGAGCCTGGCTGTTCTTCACCTTACTACCTACCTACCTACACACACACAAAGACGGCCGGCCGTCAGAAAACACGCCTCCGTGGCTCGGGTTACACCAATCCTCGCCACCCAACGCGGCCAAAGGATATCCACCTCGAGGCCGATTCGCTTTTCTTTTTTCGCGGCCCACATTTGCCTACCAAGATGCTGCTGCTTGCTTGCCTGGCCTACCACTCTCCCATACGGCCATCGACGCCGCACGCCGCAGCCGCGCGCATCGGCCGGCCACCTATCGCTGTCGATCCAACGCCGGAGTGGGCCGATCGCGCTGACGAGCTGATGCGAGAACTCGTTAAGGGCGGATCGCGCCGGATCGGCCCGTGGACCATAAGCAGCGCGGCGGCGCTGGAGAAGGCGCAGGCTCAGGCGGCGGCGACGACCGACCGCGCACTGCGAGAGCGGGACGCCGCCTCGGACCGCGCATCTGACGCGGACGCCGCCGCCGCCCAGGCGCAAGCCGAGGCGGCGGCGGCTCGAGCTGCGAATTCGGCCAAGGAGGCTGCGGCGAGGGCGGCGGAGGAGGAGGCGGCGCGGGCGCTGACGGAGCGGGACGAGGCGGCGGATCGTGCGGCGGCGGCGGAGCGGGCAGCGGCAGGAGCGCGCGAGAGGGCGCGTCTTGCAAAGGTGAGCGGCGGCGCTGCAGCCTCCTCCGCCGCTGCAGCCTCCTCTCCCTCCGGCGTCTGCACCTCCTCTCGCCAGCAAGCCCCTAGGCCGCTGCCCCGCCCCTCTCGGACGTGGCCCCTCCGCCACCCTCCACCCACCCCACCGCTTCGCCCAGCCTCCCACCACACCGCCCCTCCACCCTCTAATTGGCACACCCACCCACCACCACCCACCTCACCCACTCA